CCTAGATTCTGAAGCGTGGTATATGTGTATAATACATTGCATGTCTTTGGGATTCCTTGAATTAACATATACATGATTTCACATTTTGTGTAATTTTGTGAATTTTTCCAAATTTGTTTTGAATTAATTGTGATTTTCTTATAGGTTAAGCTGTTTTTACAACTGTGGGAAACATCTAAAAGTATTTTTCTGAAATCTTATAAACCAATAGTTTGGTTCAAAAAAACACTTGTCCTTGCCAGGTACCACGGTAGATGTTAAAGATGAAAGAGAAAATGGTTTCTCAAAATGCTTGCAGATATGATAGTTTATACGTGTTGTGTTAAAGACAAATACTTCTATATCTAGGATGATAAAAAGACAGTGTAGGGAAAGAGCTATTTTAGCACATGTGCTGCCAAAGCGAGCATGGGAAAGAGACCATCTAAACTAATAATGTGAATAGTTTTGATTCTGTTTTCTAAATTGGTAAAGTTGACGTACCTGCAGATTCTTATTTTTCTGCACATGAAATTCAAGAGAGAAAGTTAGCAAGTTAGCATAGAGAGGTGATGTGGTTAACAGTTTGGGGTCTGCTGTCAGACATATCTGGGTGCAATGATTCCTTATTCACGATTTATTTGGCTAAACAAGGCAAATTATACAATTTCTATACTCAGTGTTCACATAATAAAAGTACAAGTTGGATTGCTATGTGCATTAAATTAAAAGAGAAAAGGCACAGTATCTGGCACATAGTAGGCATAGTAGTTCATTATAATTTTATGAATATAAAATGTTGATGTAGATGTTTATCACCAATGAAGGATATCATGCTATTTTTGTATCTTAATTTTTGTTCTTTTGTGTACTTCTTTAATCTCTAATAAATAAGACTAGACAGTCTTACAGAAATAAGAATCTTTTAAGTGGCCTCCCACAAAACATAATGCATTCTTGACACATACTTCATTTTACTCATTGACATAAATTCATGGAAATCATCATAAGCAGCTGGATAGCACACGATAAAAAAATTAGTGACCTTTTGAACTTACATTCTTAATATTCCTAGTTACAAAACATTCTTTTGTTTCTAAGAATATAGTCAATGCAGTTATTGTTTTTTTAATGTGGTTGTTAATTTTATAAAATATTTTCCAAATTCTCTTACAGTAAATAAGAAAAAGGAGCTCTGTCTATCTGTGTAAGTTTGAAGTCAGATAGGGTTCTTGCCAGTGACACAAAATAGAATGCCATTATGTTTGACAACATGCAGCCCCTTATTCGAGGAAAAACATAAATGGATCAGAAATTCTACTGGATAAAAAAAGTTAAATGTCACCCTGTAAAATAATGACTATTCAAAACCTGATTTTAAAAACATGTATAATCTGAGCCTGATGATGGTGAGCTTGCTCAAGAATTAACTAAATAATGTGCCATCGGAAGCATATAGTTCTCTCATTATCCAAATCATTTGCTCTATAATTCCAGCAGAGCAATATAAAACTGATGCTACTAGAGCAAACCAATTCTAATTATTATTTTTTAAAGTTATTTATTTCTTGTTAGTTTGATACAAGTTGAAATGTCTAACTCTGAAAATTCATTTTTATTCTTGTTCTTTGTAATATATGAGGACTTATGAAGCATTTAAACTTCTTAACATGTTATGAAAAAATACTTCTTTCTTAGCTAACAGTCTGTTCTTTGATTCAGAAACAAGTGAGTTTTAGGACTGAAGTAGGTAAAGTGGGTTAGGACAAGGAAGAGGTTGGAAAAGAAACATGAACTGAACAACAAAATAGGTAACATATCTTAAAAAAATGTTTAAAATACTTATCGCACTTCTGAAATTTACTTTTTATTACATTTCAAAGAAATACTTAGTATCTGGATATCCAAAGCTTCCTTTTATATCACAGTTTCTTTAGGACTTTATGAATACATCCTGTAGACTTAGACGTTGGGATGATAGTAAATGAAGGCAGAAATATTAATTTGAATATGGCTTCTGATGCTTAAAATATAACCCAGCTATGAATAATATTACTTCTGTAGTTTATTGTGATACTAATGTTTATTCTACAATGTATCAAAAAAAGTTAGATCATGTATTTAACAAAAATTTCCACAAGGAATTCTTGAAATTTTAAATTAAAAAAATACAATGCATTCTCTCAAAAAGATATTTTTTCAAAGAATTATTAGGAAATGTTGGTATAACATTCCATAACAGGAAGTTATTTAATGATATAAAAATTGTTTTTAAAATTATGCAAAGAGAAAAGAAGACTAATATGAAGGGTCAAATTCTTCAAATTAAGAAGCTAGAAATAAAAGAAAATTAAATTTTAAGTAAGTATAAGAAAGAAAATGTTTGAAATAAGAAATAGAAAGATGGTAAACAATAAGGAAAAACGATAAAGCCAAAAGTCAAATTGTTGAGAAATTTAATAAAAGTGATAACCCCCTACCTAGATTGATCAAGGGGGGGGAAAAGAAGAAAAAATGAAAACATCCGATGTGAAAAATAAAAAATTAGCATACTTCCCAACTCATTTTATAAGCTTAAACCTGATTTAAAACCTGACAAGGATATTTTAAGAAGAGAAAAGTACAGAATAATATTCTTCATGAACAAAGATGCAAATATCCTCAATAAAATTTTGGCAAACTGAATCCAGAAATATTGTGATATTGTTATCCCAAGAATTCAAAGTTAGTTGATTTGAATATCAATCTATAAAGTAAAACATATTAACAGAAAATTGAGAAAAAAGCTATCTTCTAAAAACATGCAAGGAAAGCTTTCAACATATCTGAAGGTCATTTATGATTAAAAGCTCTCATCAAGCTAGGAATAGAAGGGCATTTCTGCAGCCTAACAGAGAACCTCAATAAAAAACTCATTGATGAGAAAGTGGTTTCCAATTCTGCATGTAAGGAGTTTGGAAGTCACCACTCTGTACTAACAATAAGGAAAAAGCTGAGCAGGCTACATACTTAACAACCC